TCTGAGCTGACTTTTATCCCACACATTAAAAACATCACAAAAATAGGTTTTTATCATCTAAAGAACATCGCCAGAGTCCGCTCTATTCTCTCTCGGGCCAATACGGAGATGCTGATGCATGCTTTTATCACCAGTAGAATTGACTACTGTAATGCCCTGCTTTCTGGTCTTCCCAAAAAGAGCATCTCATGTTTACAACTCCTACAAAATTCGGCAGCACGTGTCCTGATGAAGACCAGGAGGCGGGTGCACATTACACCAGTTCATTTTAATCCAGTGTTTTCTCTATATAGGGGCCCTCTGCCCCGGGAGAGGTGGTCGACTTTAGCTTCCTGTGCGCTATATAGGTAGTGTTTACAGTAAGTGGAGGTGGGGGTTTATGCTCCCCCTCCTCTGAGCGTCTTGTCTTAGTTGCTGTGGAAGACGTGATGCTGCCGAGGCAGACGGCTCCTCTGATGGCATTTCCTTGCCTTACCTTACTTGGCTCATCTGGACTCAGCCAAATATAAATTTTTACGTGTGTGTGTGTGTGTGTGTGTGTGTGTGTGTGTGTGTGTGTGTGTGTGTGTGTGTGTGTGTGTGTGTGTGTGTGTGTGTGTGTGTGTGTGTGTGTGTGTGTGTGTGTGTGTGTGTGTGTGTGTGTGTGTGTGTTAATGTTTTTAAATTGTTATGGGGATTTGGGGTTGTTTTGTTAAGCACTTTGAGTAGCACTTTGTTTGAAAAGTGCTTTATAAATCAAATCTGATTGATTGATTGATTGATTGATTGATTGATTGATTGATTGATTGATTGATTGATTGATTGATTGATTGATTGATTGATTGATTGATTGATTGATTGATTGATTGAAGCCTCCTCCCAAGTACCTACTCAGGAACTAATCTGTACCTACTAGGTACTTAACCATTACCTACTGCTTTTGTCTACCTTAAAGTGATGCCTCCTCCCAAGTACCTACTGAGGAACAAATATGTTCCTCACCACGGCAGGTTTGGGTGACTCTTGGTTTTATTTGCATCTCCAGAGATGAGTCGTGTAAGGTGAACTGTGCTGAGATAAACATTTGTTGTCATGTTCTGTATCCCTTTGTTCCCCAGCCCCTCCAGTTCCCACTCCAGGTTCTCCTTTTGTGCTTCATAGCGCCCTCATGTGTCCTTTGTCTGCATCTCATTTATGTGTCTCTTTGTGTTCCTCATTTGTCCCCTGGTCTTCAGCCTTCCAAATATATCTCTCAGGTCCTGTGTTCCTTTAAGTCTTCTCCAGTCACCCCTCTGCAGCCAGTCATCCCTCGGCAGTGTTTATAGTTTCAGCTTTTTATTTTATTAGTCTCTTTTATATGTTTTGTCCCACCAGTCTTTGTAGTTCTCCTTCCCTTTAGAATATTAGTTATGTGGTTGCTTTTCTTGTTTTTAGGTTTTTTCTTAGGTCATGTGAGTTCCTTCCCTGATTAAGTATTGCTTTCACCTGGTCCTCTCCCCACACACCTGCAGCTCATCTGCCTCCCATCATGCCCCAGTTTATTTAAGCCCTGTCTTGTCTCAGACCTAGTCCACACGTAGCCGGGTTTTTTTTAAAAACGAATATCCGCCCCTCCAAAAACTTGCATCCACACCACCTAGTTTTAAAAATAAAACTCTGTCCACACGTACCCGGATAAATACGTTGTTAAGGACATGCCAGACCTGTAGGCGGCAGTACTTCCCCCGTTCTTAACCTCGTCCTTCGTCTGTGGTCTTCCGCAAGGAGCAGTAATTCCGCTTGCAAAAACAAACAAGCAAAAAGCGCTTGGACAATTGATAAAGTGAGCGCAGCTCTGAGGGCATCCATGCTGTCGGCCAGTGTAAGCACGGGTCGCACACGTGATGTCAGCATTTTTTTGTCGCGGAAAGTGACGTTGCGGACCTTAAAACTCCGTTTTGTCTGTCCACACGCAGACACCCAAAACGGAGAAAACGCAGATCTTCACTTTGGCCGGAGTTTTTAAAAAGATCCGTTTTCGTGTGAAAAAACTCCGTTTTCGTGTGGATGACAGGCCAAAACGTAGAAAAATATCTATGTCTTGGCAGATCCCCAGCTACGTGTGGACAGGGCCTCAGTGTCTTGTCGGTCCATTGTTGTTTGTCAGCGGTGTTTTGGTGATTGTTGTCAGTCTCGTCTCGTTCCTGTTCCTAGCTTCCAGTGTTTCCAGTGTTTCTAGTTCTCTAGTGTTTTTGATGACTCAGTTTAGATTTTTGGATTTTTGATTTTTTGTTTTTGGCCCCCTGCCTTTGGATTACTACCTTAAGAAAGGATTTTTACTTTATCCTCCACCTCTGCCTCGTTCATCTGGTATCTGCATCTTGGGTCCTAAATCATCCTCCTACACCAACTCGTGACATCTGTAGTGTTTGCTGCTGATGGAACTCAGATTTCCTTTTCAGCTGGAATTACAGTAATCAAGCTGAATAATAAAAGCATGAATTACTGTTTCAAAATCCTTTTTTGACAGCAAGGTTTTGGAGATCCTTCTTCATTGATAAAAACTAGATTTAGTCACAGCACTGATCTGCCTGTCCAAAACAAGATCCCTATCCAGTACAACACCCAGGGAAGCCACACTCAGTTTCAAGAATGGGGCGAGCTGACCAAGGTCCACTGCACCCACCCTAGACAAAGTACTTGGACCAAAAACTAAAACCTCTGTCATTTTATCATTAAAAAGAAGGAAGTTAGAGAACATCCATTGCCTAACCTCAACGAGACAATCTAAAAGAGACTGCAAAGCATGATTGTGGCCGCTCTTAAAAGGGTGTGAGTTTAATGTCTGTTGCCAGTTATGGATCAGCGCCACAAGGGGTGTGTGTGTGTGTGTGTGTGTGTGTGTGTGTGTGTGTGTGTGTGTGTGTGTGTGTGTGTGTGTGTGTGTGTGTGTGTGTGTGTGTGTGTGTGTGTGTGTGTGTGTGTGTATGTGTGCGCGCGCACTGTCTAGCCAAAAAAAAAGGTCTGACACACAAATGTTTCATTAGACCACCCTTAGCATCATCTGCATCTCTTCTTATCATGATGTGCCCATTACTCTGGGTACATCTGGACTCATCCAAAAAGGTTCAAATGAAGGTGACTGGACTTCTTTGTTTTTTTGAAGTTTTGCTTCTCATCTGATGAGCTTTGTCAATTCTGACTGGAAAACGGGAGGGTCAATCTTCAATTCAATTCAAAAATACTTTATTAATGCCAGAGGGAAATTGATTGCTGTAGTAGCTCAGAATAATAATAATAATCAAGTCATCAAAGAGTTATTGTATATTACAATGGCTGTTGGCAGGAAGGATCTCCAGTAGCGGTCAGTGTTGCAGCGAAACTGAAGAAGCCTCTGACTGAAGACACTGTTCCGTTGTCGGACAGTCTTGTGAAGAGAATGCTCAGGGTTGTCCATAATTTTCTTGATTCTCTGGAGAATCCTTCTTTGCATTATCTCCTCCAGTGGTTCCACAGTCGTCCCCAGAACAGAACCAACCTTTTTTATTAGGCTGTTGAGCCTTTTCAGGTCCCTGCTTCTAATGCTACTACCCCAATAGACGATGGCTGAAGAGATTACACTCAACAACAGACTTGTAGAAGATCTGCAGCATCTTGCTACAGACATTGAAGGACCCAAGCATCCTCAAGAAGTGCAGTCTGCTGTGTCCCTTCTTGTAAACGGCTTCACTGTTCTTTCTCCAGTCCAGTCTGTTGTCCAGGTGAACTCCAAGGTATTTGTATTCCTCAACCACCTCCACTTCTTCTCCCATGATGGAAACAGTGTTTGACTCCACCCTGTTTCTTCTGAAGTCTAAAATCACCTCCTTTGTTTTGTTCACATTCAAGGTCAGATGATTGTTTCCACACCATGCCACTAAGCGCTCCACCAGCTCTCTGTACAGCATAAGCTGTAGCTGTTTGTTGTAGCTTAACGAGCATAAACTCACTGTGAAAACCCCTCCTCTCTACCCCGATGAGTCGTTAGCCTCAATTGTTGAGGGAGTCATGTTGATTTGGGGCAGGAGGGTGTGACCTAGACTGAAACAGGAATATGGTTTAGAGCTGCATTACAGGTGCTGGAAAAGTGCAATCTATCTCATCCCATATTTATTGTAGGGTTTTCCCGTTTGACATAGATACCGGCCTTCACTCCTCCATCAAACCTTCTTCTTCTCTGTCCAGAATGTGTCCAAATGTTTCTAAAACAAGTTCCCTTGAGGGCTGGTCTCCAGCATGTTTTACTGTGTGACAGACCCTGGTTATTATTAGAACAAATAGATGCTAAATTCACTCTGCAACCAGCAGCAGCTGTCCCACCTAGATTTACTATACTCTGGCAACAATATCCTCAGGATATTATCAAAAACACAATTTAATACATGAAAAATAATCTTTGTGGGAGATTTTGCATGTCAAATTTTAAATATAAGCATTTTTAAGAATGTCATACATGTTTAGTTTTTTCAAGTTTGATTCAAAAGAAAGAAAAATATGGATTTTTATGTTTCTACAGTGTGTTCTATGAAATATTTCAATCACAATAAAATATTCTACTGTCTATTTTTTATTTATAATATGTTAGACTCTCGTTTTAGGGTTTTTAAAATGTATAAACGCTGAAATAAAACAGGATGTAACAAAGTGCTATGATGCTGTTGGTAGAAACAGCAGGATTCATTCAGTAAACTAGAGCAGAAAACGTTTTTCAGACAAAATGACTTTAAAAGATTCTGCTCAAACCTAAACTGTTACTTATTTATTTATCAGCCAAACATAACTCGTCATACAGGAAGTGAACGGATGAGAAACGCATTGCCTATTGCTGTGCTGAGCAACGCACGCGCTTTTAACGAGCACCAATCGATCGTTCCATTGTTCATGTGCTTCTGTTATGGTTCACCTCGGTGATGTGCGCATGCGTAGTCAGGAAACGTGTTTGTTATTATTGTAAATTTAACGTTGAGTTACAGAATTTAGGCATGCTATATAAAGGGCTGATTTTTTAAACCTTTCAGTGCTTTTTCGTAGAAATACTGGGACGCACGCTGGTCTACTGGTTTGCAACCGTTTATTTTGTGTTTTAGTTGTTAGTTGGTTATTTCATTGTTATTTCGCTGTTAGTTATTTTGGTTTTTGTTGTTTTCTTACGATCAGCTGCTTCAATTGTCAGTTCTTCTCACTGGTAAGTTTTCTTTTTTATATTTTATTATACGAAGTTTTTGTTGCTAGTCCTAAGTGTTAATGTTGGGCAAAAATGTTATTTGGCAAAACACTCCAAGCATTAATTCGGCAAATTTTCATTTTGAGCTATATAAAGGTCAGATTTTTTAAACCATTCCGAGTTTTTTGGAGAAATGCTGGGACACCGCTGGTCGACTGGTCTGTTAGCTAACGAAAACCGTTAATTTTCTTATAGCAGTTCGCTGTTGGTATTTGTTAGTTATTTTGGTTTTTGTTGTTTTCTCACGATCAGCTGCTTCTGTTGTCAGCTCTTCTCACTGGTTAAATTTTGTTTTAATGTTTTATTTATCACATACGAAGTTTTTGTTGCTAGTCCTAAGTGTTAAATTTTGGCAAAAATGTTATTTGGCAAAACACTCCAAAGCATTAATTCGGCAAATTTTCATTTTGAGCTATATAAAGGTCTGATTTTTTTAAACATTCTGAGTTTTTTCGGAGAAATACTGGGACACCGCTGGTGACTGGTCTGTTAGCTAACGAAAACCGTTAATTTTCTTATAGCAGTTCGCTGTTGGTTATTTCCTTGTTATTTCGGTTTTTACTGTTTTCTCACGATCAGCTGCTTCTGTTGTCAGCTCTTCTCGCTGGTTGGTTTATATATATATATATATATATATATATATATATATATATATATATATATATATATATATATATATATATATATATATATATATATATATTATTTATCACATACAAAGTTTTTCATAAATTCGGCAAATTTTCATTTTGAGCTTTATAAAGGTCTGATTTTTTTAAACCATTCAGTGCTTTATTATTACAAACAATTAAATTATTAATTCTGGGACGCACGCTGGACTATTAGCTGGTCTATTAGCGATTAAGCTAACGGCAACCGTTTCTATTTTTCTTATAGCAGTTGTTAGTTGTTAGTTGTTGGTTATCGGTTATTTCGTTATTGGCTACTTCGTTGTTAGTTATTTGGTTTTTGATTGGGCATTTTTCAACAACAACTTTCATATCATTTCTGCATGATGAGCTGATGTTTGTGCAATTTTCAAAACAAAATGCATGTGTTACTTTTCCCTAATGTGACTGTGTTGGTGTGCGTGTTCTAAATGTGTGATGCTAGTTGCTGCTGTTTGCTGCTGATGGAGGGGAAACATGTCCTTTAACTGATGGAATTGTTTAACATTTGAAAATTTGACATTGAAACTTTTACTTTTGCATGCTGATTCATTAGAATTTTAAAAGTGTTCAATTAGTGCAAAAATGTAATTTGGTAAAACACTCCAAAACATTAATTGGGCATTTTTTCATTTTGATTAAAAGCAAAACTGTGTTTTAGTGTTTTTGGTGTCAAAGCAAAAGCAAAAAACAAATACATTGTTTTTGTTTGACAACATTGTTGCCTTGTTTGGCATTTCTGGTTGTTAGGATACCAAAAACAACAACTTCCATATCATTTCTGCATGATGAGCTGATGTTTGTGCAATTTTCAAAACTAAATGCATGTGTTACTTTCCCTAATGTGACTGTGTTGGCGTTTTTTAAATGTTTGATGCTTGTTGCTGCTGTTTGCTGCTGATGGAGGGGAACATGTCCTTTAACTGATGGAATTGTTTAAAGAGCAAGTCACCGCCTACCAGAGTATAACTCCGCTCCTACTTCCTGTTTCAAAAATACAACAAATGCTGTTGCCTAGCAGACCGAGAGGGTGGAGCCGTTAACAAATACACACACACACACACACACAGGCTCACGACATTGTGACAGCATATCGTACCAGCTAACGTTCTGGGGTACCTCTTAGCCAATAGCATGGCAGATTGAAAGTCAAATGCAGTGCAGTTTTTACCTGACAACGGCACAACACTGACAGTTTTAGGTGGAAATTTTAAATTTGAACTAAAATACACTAAAGTGCAAAACCATTGACTACACATCCTTTACAATGTTCATTATGTCCTCTTTTTAAATATTAAACGAGGTTCTTTTAGCTTCGGACATGGAGGTGTCTCTAGTTACCTTTACATGTTTCGACCGTCGTCTGCGGTCTTCATCAGAAATGTCACAGGTGTTTGTGTGACACGTCTTTATCAGCTGTTCTTCTGGTGGATGGGACCAACCCGGATCTGTCAGATCTGCCGGGTCGGTCACGCCCACCTCTGCTGGCTGGTCTTTGGAGAAGGGAATCCCAGGTGTGAGACAGCTGATAGGCCCCCTCGTCTCTGTTCCTGTTCCAATGTTCACGTTTCCTTATTTCTATTGCCTCCCTGATCCAACGTTTGATCCAGTTGTTCTCCGTGTTGATAATTTTCCCTTGATCCCAGTCCATGATGTGATTATTTCGTTTGCAATGATCTGAGATGGCTGACCTGAGGGTTTGCTCCTCTGCTTTTTTCTTTGTTGACCTTGTGAGTCTTTCTGTTGTTTCCTTCTCACATTCCTTCTGGTGCTCTTTTCTTCTTATGTCATATGTTCTGCCGGTTTTCCCTATGTATGTTTTATTGCATGACATGCATGGTATTTCATAGATTACATTGCATTTCTTGTCTGGTTCTATTATGTTCTTGGGGTGTACTAGTAGCTGTCTGAGTTTCATGTGAGGTTTGACGGTTGTGTTGATTTGTTGTTTTTTCATGGCCCTTTGTATACATTCTGTGACTCCCTGGATATATGGAATTGTGATGCTGTCTGTGTGCGTGTGGTCTGGTCTTTGTTTACTTTTTTGGTCTCTCTGTTTTATTGATTTTCTTTGATTTGTTGTTTTCCTTTTTCTATGGCCCATATTGGATACTGACAGAGGGTTGTGTGTGTGTGTGTGTGTGTGTGTGTGTGTGTGTGTGTGTGTGTGTGTGTGTGTGTGTGTGTGTGTGTGTGTGTGTGTGTGTGTGTGTGTGTGTGTTATTTTTGCAGAGGAGGTGGAGTAGTCAGGGATTGTACTCAGATAGCAATACTCGATGAGAATTTTACTAAAGTAAAACTAAAAGTACAATGCAGCAGAACTACTAGCAGTACAATTATTATCTGGCTTTACTTTTGGGTATCACAATAATCCCCTATTAGAGGATACTGGAGTATTTACTTAGACCACAACAGTAGAAATAACCTGAAATGAACCTGAGTGGTGGTTGTCTGCTGCTCTTGCAGACTTTCATGATAAAGATGAGTTTGCTACCTAAACTCATTTATGTATTTCAAAATATCTCTCTGGCGCCCCCTGCTGGAAGAAACTGTAGTTCTGTCTATTATGCAGAAATATGACAATTAGTTTTTTATTATGTGACATCAGTGGTTGTTATTCAGCTGCTAATGGAGGCAACAGCAGAATAAGTTTTATCAACTAAGTTTCAGGGAAATTTGGCAGGGAAACCACTCTTTTTATTTATTATGTATAACAACAATGTAAAGAAAAAATATGAATTTTTGTTTGTTTGTTTTTTGTTATAAGGTTAACTTAAGACATTATAAAAATGACAAAAAGACAGCATTCAATGGTATTGTTTTGCTACGTTGCCTGTTACAAGTACAACACAGTTTCATTCAAACCACAAAGTGAGATTTTCTCTGATGTTATGCCTTAATTGTAGTTTAGGTTTAACTTCACTTATTACTTATTTGTTTTTTTACTTTTCAGCAGCCGCCAGCCACCAGCCACCATGGCTAGCAGCAGCTCTTCTGAGCCTCTGAGAGTAAAAGCAGAGCTATGGAATGGGGTGAAGACAATGGTCAACACCCCATATCCTTTCCTTACTGAGAGAAGTAACTTTGGCTGAGAAGATCAGCTGGGGTTGATTTTTGTTATTTATTTATTTATTTGTTTGTTTGTTTGTTTCTCATTCACAAACTTTCTCAATTCACAACTGGAAGCTTTAGAATTCCATGCTTCCAGGAAACTGGTACTGGACGAGCGTGAAACTTTTCATCTTTTAGATTAGAACTGAGGAAGCTTCTTAAATGAGACAGGACATGTCTTTGTGACAGAAGTGAATGTTTAGCTACCTCTGGTGGGTTGTAATCTGTTTAATCTGTGCCTGTAATCTGTATTTGGATTATCTGAACATGTTTTGGCCTTAACCTTTTCCACGTTTTGGGACCTGCTCAAGGTGCTTGTAATCCTTACCAGCATTGTGAGCGTGAGCATGTACAGCCCCATCGGTGAGGAGCCCCAGCACCTGAGGGTACGTGCGAGCCCTGGCATATTCCCCACATCTGTTTAAGGTGTCTTATTATAATCCTGCTGTTTTTAACCATGTCTCCTCAGTTCATCAACCTCGGCTGCATCTGCTTCTTCATTTTTGACATGTTCCTGAAGATGGCGTCGCTGGGCATCTGCAGGGAGCGGGGTCACCTTCGTAGCATCTGGAACCGGGTGGAGTTATTTGTCCTGATTTTTGAGTGAGTGTTTACTTATTTACTATTTGCAGATGAAAAACATTGTTTAATTTGAACTGAAGTGACAGATTTAAAACGTTTAATTTTTTCCCCCTGTCAGGATCGTGGACTGCCTCCTTTTCTGGTCCCAGATGCACTTGAGGATCAGCTACCCACTGAAGGTGGTCAGACTGATTATCAGAGTGAGGGGTAAGTTGATGACGGAGCACAGAAGGACCTTTGTCTGCCACCATTCAAACACCAGCCTTCACTTTTAGTACTGACAAATCTATTTATGATAAATGAATTTGTGTTTAGATCCATCTAAGATCTAAACACATGTAGATTCATGAAAACGTATTCCTAGTGACTCGTAAATAACACGACGTTTGTGAGGAGCCACGAGGGAAAGGTTTTCGTCAAACATCTAAACATCTGGTTGTTTGTGTCTACATTCCTGTAGAACTGCGAAGGTGGATCAAGACTGTGGTGAAAATCATACCCATTATAGCAGAGTACATTCTCATGTACCTGTCTATGGTGTACATCTTCGGCACCATGGGGGTCCAGCTGTGGGCCGGCGACCTCCACCATCGGTGCTACACGAGCGGCCTGGACCTTGCGTAAGGCGATGATTTTGTCTGCTCCTCTCATCTCTCTCTGTAGGACCACTTCATGTGTGTTCATTCTGCTGCTTTACAAACACTCATCCTTCAGCCCAAAGCATTTGTTTCACCCTGAAGATTTTGTGCCTTAGCGTAGAAGACAACTTTTATTTGATTTTAGATTTTGGATGTGACAGTCTTGTAAATGTTGCAGCCTATAATCTCTTCTTTCTGTTCTTTTCTAATCCCAAAGGTTGAAGCTGAACATGAGCGAGTACTATCAGTCCTCTCCTGATGAGTTCTCTGAGTTCCTCTGCTCGCCGAACCCCGACGGGATACGCCAGTGCAAGGACATTCCTCCGCTGCGCCAGAATGGACAGACCTGCATGTTGGCCCCGCCCAGTGCAAACTGGTCATCTGCACTACTGGCCAACAGCAGCGCCCTGACCAATTCAACAGCCTGCATCAACTGGAATGTCCTGTACAACGCGTGTCTTCCGCTGGGCCCAAATCCGGGGTTTGGGGGCATCAGCTTCGACAACATTGGATATGGGATGCTCACCGTGTACCAGGTGGGAATCAGCCTAAATCTGCCCACAGGTTCAAGGTTTCTGACCCCTGTTTGATTATTTGTTGCATTTGTGAATTCTAATGCTTTAATAGACGTTACACATGATGTTTGTAATTTTAATCAGGTTACCACACTGGAAGGATGGACAACCATCATGAACTACGTGATGGACGTCTCCTTCGGGGCCAGCTTTTTGATTTTCTTCATCCTCGTTGGTGTAAGTATCTGCTTGACTTTTAAATACTGCTATTTTATGGGGTTTTGCACCAACATGGTTGTTGTCGTTTTACAACAAGCTAGGAGAAGATGTGACATTCTCTCCTCTTTGTGTCCCTCTAATCAGAGCGTCTCCTTCCTCGCCATCAACACGTTCCAGGTGATCGTCGCCATTCACTTTGTGAAGGCTGACGATGATGATGAACCTGAACGTGAGAGGGGCTTCTTTGTGGACGGCTTGGACCTGCTGTACAGGATGAAGCTGTACTTGTGGGAGCATCGCTGCGTCAGGTACAGATGTTCACACAAACACTCATTCAGTCGGGTCTCTGGGAGCTGCTTTGGTCTCCAGCCGTCGCCCTGGACAGGTTGCCACGTAGAGACAAAGATGACACAAAAGCAGTCACACGTTCACTCACACCACAGCAAATCCCATCACTGCTGAGGCTGAACGTGCACGGATGCAGCGGGATCCGCTCATTCTCTCTCTCTGTGTCTCAGATTGTCCACGGAGAGCGACCGCTGGTGGAGCAGCCAGAGCCGCTCACGTTCGGTGAGACTAAAACACGTTCAGCTAATAGATTTTTTTTTTGCTCATCCTCCAGCAACTCTGAACCCATTCTCCTCATTCCCAGTTTGACGCCCAGTCCCCGACCATGGAGAAGATTGAGCGTTTCCTCAACAGCGACTTGTTGGGGTGGATCCAAACGCTCACCATCCTCGCCAACCTCATCGCTATGTCCATTGAGCACTACGGCCAGGTAAGATCCTCTAAAAAGTTATTTTATCTGTTTGTTTTGTTCGATAATTGAATGTTTGACAGTGAAACACGCCGGTGTCATGCTCTGTGTCCCTTTGGTCCCCAGCTCCCTCCAGGTTTCCCTCATGTTCCCCCTAGTCACTTCACTTGTTTTTAGTTTTATTATTTGTTCAGATTATCTAGTCGTATCTCCTTTAGTGTGTTTCCTTCCCCATTTAGGTCATTAGTTTACTTATCTTTAGTTCTTCTGTGTCTTTGTTCTACAGCGTTTAGGTTTATTTTAGTTTAGTAGCTTTGTTTGACAGGATTACGGTCTGGTGTTCTCCCCTGCCTGTTTCTGCTCCTCCTCTCACTTTATTCGTCTCGCCTTTGCCCAATTCCCTCAATCACCCAGCCCCTGTGTATATAACCTGTCTTGTCTCAGTGTTTTGTTGGTCCATTGTCTTTGTCAGTGTTGTTCTAGTTGCCTCCTGTGCTTTAGAGTTTTTTGTTACTCCTCCAAACCGCTCCTGCCTGTGTAGTTCTGGGTTCTTGTGTTTTGGGTCCAAGCCTCCTACCCTCAGCAGGACTGAAATGCACTTACAGATGAACACTCACACCGTCTAATTCTATGGAATGAAAAGCATGGTCATCAGGCTAATGATGAAACAGTCTAATGTTTTTATTAATATTGTCACTGAGGTTTTATTTTGGCTGCTTCTGTAGAAAGTAGGCAGTTCTCCTCTGTCAACTCTCCACAATAAGAGTTTATAACAACTCCAAAAGTTTATCAATGTTTTCTGGTAAAAATGTAAAAACCAGCTGAGTGATCTCATGTTCATGATGTTCTTGACTCTGGATCTTCTCCTCCTGAAGCCCGAGGCTCTGACTACAGCCCTGGACACGTGCAACTGCGTGTTCATCGGGATGTACTCAGCGGAGTTGGTGGTGAATGTCCTCCTGTACAGGATCGAGTACTTCACCGATTGGGAGAATGTCGTGGACCTCGCCATCATCATCATCGGGTAGAACAATCTCAGTCAACCTTTGCTTTTGAGAACTGATGGTTTATTTTTTGCTGTGATAACCATTTTTGTTGTTTTCTCAGCATCGTGGAAATCGTGTGGCAAACCGAGACCAGACTCTACGTCCTCCGTGCGTTCCGCGCCACTCGGATCAGCATGCTGTCCAACTTCTCTCCTAAGCTGAAGAGGCAGTGGGAGATCCTGAAGCGATCCATCAGGCAGTCGCTGCATCTCTCCATGATGTTTTTTTTCATAGTCTACATCTTCAGGCACGTACACACACACACACGCACGCACGCGCGCACACACACACACACACACACAATTTGCTATAATAAGGATCTGGCTGACTCTCGCTGCAGCATGTGGGGCATGACGTTGTTCAGCAGCGAGAACTTTCCACCGCGGGAGGTCAGAGGACTCTTTCATCCCCAGGCCAGCTTTGACTCGCTGTGGTGGTCCATGCTCACCGTCTTCCAGGTATTATTTCCTCCCTAATATTCAGTCGTGACGTGACTCCGTCTTTTATAAACGTTTATGTTTGTTTTCATTTCAGATCATCACCGGGGACAGCTGGAACGTGATAATGTACAGTGCGATGCTATACAACTCTCCATACATCGCACTGTACTTTATCACCGTCATAACCATTGGGAAGGACCTCCTCCTAAGCTTCCTGGTGGGCATGGTCATGCTACGCTTTGACCGTACGGTATGAATCTGCTTCTGCACACCACCACAGAGCGTTTTCTTAATTGTAGCACAAGGAGCCTGAAATGTTTTGTTTTCCCCAGACATCATCATCATCTGTAGAGACCGACTCCTCCAGGTCCGAGTCTCGGTCGGACCCTTTGTCGGCCTCTTCAGGGCCAGCAACCGGCTCGCCGTCTGGGCCTGTAAGTTACTCTGAAGCAACCTGTCCTTTAAATCCACTATTTGAGCAGCAACACCACCTTGAGATGGGTGCGTTCAAGTGCTGCTTTTTGAAATGCATCACTTTTCTCACACACACTTTTGTTTATGTAGACCCCCCAGTCCAACGGAAGTAACGGCAGCTGGCCCAGCATGTTGAGGGTCAACAGATGCCCAAGCAACGTAAGTCTGAGACGAGACTTTTGTCAAAGTTCAGATTTTTCACTTGTGTTTTAGTAACAGAGAGTTTGTCTTGTTTCTGTCCATGAGTACGAACAAAGTGTGGTTACTGGAAGTCTCTAAGATGATTTCAAGATCCTGTTAGTAAAGTGTGGTTACTTGTGTCTTTCTGCACAGGCACTGAGATGCTCCAGCCAGAGGAGTAGCGCCGGGTTCCAGAGCTGCTCAGAAGATGGGAGGAGCCCCACGACCCGGAGCAGCTCAAAGGTCAAGAGGAGCCCCAGGGCTCAGAGCAGCTCCAACGTTTAAGAGGAGCCCCAGGGTCCAGGGCAGCTCAGACGTTTAAGAGGAGCCCCACGACCCGGAGCAGCTCAAGCCAAGGGGAGCTCCAGGGCTCAGAGCAGCTCAGACATTTACAAGGAGCCCCAGGGTCCAGGGCAGCTCAGACATTTAAGAGGAGCCCCAGGGTCCAGAGCAGCTCAGACATTTACGAGGAGCCCCAGGGTCCAGGGCAGCTCAGACATTTAAAGGAGTGCTGGGACCATTTAGTTAATTTTCTAGTTTCAATGTTCAAGTTAACAAAATGTTTAAATTTTGGTTATGAAGCTAAACTGTTGCAGTGCTTTTGCTCATGGTGTCAAACTAAAAACTTTGTTTTGTTTGAAAAAGTGTTCATGTTGTTTAGCAACAGTTTGGCGTTTCTGGTTGTTTTGTTTAGATGTAATTAAAGGTTTGTAAGTGGCTCAAACA